TCTACTTGCTATTTTTTTTAAAAAAATATTGCGCATTTTCTTTTTTTTCCGTCGCGCTCTACGTGTTTCTAGTGGTGTATTAGCATAGGATACTGACGCTTGCTGTTGTTTCATACACTTTTGAGGTCACTCGTACTATGTCCCTTGTACATTTCCGTTCATCGGTAAACCATGGGTTGGGGAATTAGCACCGTTCCCAATCCCACTTCAGCCAATGGGTCTTCAAGTCGCACCCCGCATATTGGGCGTCGTTCAATGCTGGGATTCGCCACTACTCGTCTTAAGGGAGGAAACGCCGCTGCATCGGACAGCACGGGCCTAGGTGCACCAGGTGCCCTCTCGGATTCTAAAAAACCCACTCTAGTTCCACAGGTCACCGCTCTCAAAAGGGAAAAGGCCCGCCCTAAATCCATCCACGTTCTGGGGATGGGCAGCGAACGGATTCTATCTGATACTGCTCCACCGTCATCATTGAAAAAGCCTACCAAAACAACCACGGGCACCAACGAAACCGTAGAGACTGCTACTGGAAACCTTTCCTCAGGTACAGTTTCCTTTGCCAACACTACAAGTACCACCGCTTCCAAAGCCCAGCCCGAACCTACGAGGTCTAAATTGCCCACCGCTGGGTCTGGTAAAGCGTTAAATCCCAAGCGCCACAGTTTACACGTGTCCAAATTATCTTCCAAAGAGCTGGACCAACTAGCCGAACTCAAGTCAGCGGATGATCCACCTTTTCTTCGTCACCAATCCTTACTTCCCTTACCTGTAGCCCAACGCAAAGTCAAGGAAGCTCAGTCCACTACTCCACCTTCCGAACCTTCCCCTGCGAGTTCTTCGTTACTGGGTCGGCGTTTGTTACGCAATACCCTGCGATCCCGAATGCCACCCAACACCCCTGTTAAAACCCACCAGCCCCCGCCCAGAGTTCCTAGGGATAGGGCGTCAGAGGCGTCCACTCTGCCCTTGCCGTCTAAAGCCCGTAATCGGTTGTCATTAATCCCTTCAGCACCCGGTAACCGCCCTTCGTCGAAGCTTAGACAACCTTCCTCATCGTCCACCATAGCGGATGCGAAACCCAAGCGTCAGTCGCTGCAACCCGACACCCTTGAGGACAATCCCGACGTTGAACGGGAAACGGTTGATGAATTGCCTAGTGCTGCAACCAGTCCCATCCCATCCGCTGTAAATAGAGGGTGTTCCTCACCTCTAACTCCGGAGGTGCCCTTGGCGAGTCCCAAGTCGTCTGTAACTGTCGATTCCGGGAAGGTGACAACCGAGCCATCTTCGCCTTTGATATTCGGGTCTCGGCCGCTAGATGCCCTAGGCTCAGCATCGCTATCTAATTTACCGCGTCGTCCTTCGTCAACTTCGTTACGTTCACTGCAGCAACTCAGGCCGCCCACCCATGCCAACCCTCACCTCTTGGCTGCGACTGGATTACGGTCTCAGAGCCCAACGTCTCCGCATCGGACGGGACTAGCCCACATATCCATGCTGGCTAACCGTCAGAATGGTCTAGGTTCTTCAGCGTTAACTGGAGTGAGTGAAACGCGAGCGAAACGGACAGCTGTAGTTTCCCCAACTTTGTCTGAACCCAGTCCTGCGGTTGATTCGCCCTCAGGTTCTCCTCCGTTGGAGAGTCCTCGGGAAAACACTATCCCCGTTGTTGAGGAAGCCTTGGAAATCGCTTCGAACGAAACTATTGCAACGGTTACCACATCAAAAAACAAGAACGGTTCGTTAATTGCAGACGAGGCCCCACCCCTGGGTGTACTAGATGATGTTCATGAAACTTTCCGTGAAAAACGTGCTAGTTACATCAACCAGCGCGAGGCGGGTATGGACCAGTCGCTGTCCCATTCCACGGAATCAGAGGTGGTGGCGGGTTCACTTTTCAAAACTCCAACTTCGCCCTCCCCTCCGTTCTGTGTGGATCGTGGTGTATCCCCTATCCCCTTACCACCTTTGGATGTGGGCCCTCCCGTTCCCACAACTTCTCTGCCAGAAGATTTGGCCGCTATTGAGACGCTGCAGGCGGAAGTGCAAAAGTTACGTCAACGTGCCCAGGAGGTAGAACGGGAACTGGCCAATTCCCGACAACAACACGACCATTTGTCTCTGCTTCACGACACACTCGAGTCCGAATTACTTCAAGTAAAGAGTGAGCTGGAATATGCCCAGCATTCGGAAAAACAGTGCCAAGTTCAAACTCGGGCATTGCAGGCTGAGGTGGAGCGTATCACCGAAGAGAAGCAGCGCGTGGAGTCGGAATTGGAAGCCCAGAAGGAGGAGTACGAAACCCTCAGCAACCTGAAGGAATCAATCGAGGTTGATCTTATTCAGTGCGACGAGGAAAAGAGTGCGGTGGAAAAGGACAATGAGAATCTTCGCTGTTCCTTGCAGGAGCGCTCCAAACAGTATGACGAGGTCAAGGCGGCCCACCAACAAGTCAAGACACAGGTTAACAAACTTCGCAAAGAATTGGATTACCTGCGCACCCAACCCGCCGAGGCAGATTATATGGAGCAAACCATCACCCGGTTGGAATCGGAGCGGAATCAACTGCGCCAAGAGCTTTCAACATTGAAACAGGACAGTGTCAACTTTGCTGACCAGTCACTGGAAGCAGTTTCGGATAATGAAGATGTGTTGAAGTTGCAACTTGCCCTTGACGAAACTCAGAAGGAACGTGACCAACTTCAGGAGCAGCTAACGGTTTTACAGGCCCAGTGCGACCATCTGACCACTCATAACCGTACACTCACCAAGGAGCTGGGCACCATTCAGGCTCTATGGGAAAATCACGTCTCTACTTACCCCAATGCAGATACAACCTCGGTAGGTACGACGAAACATAGTCTTAAATCAAATTCTTCCCTTGCTAGTTCGCCGGACAGTGTTGGTCTTGATTCTTTCTCCTTGTCTGAACGGGTTGGTTCAGGTGAAAGAGCTGCTCCTATTTCCTCCAGCGATGACGAACACAGCGATGTGTCGGGTAACCATTCCGATGGATCGGTGTGCTGGTGTTCCCCAAAAAAAACCCGACGACAGATGCGACGGGACAAGGCTATGAGCTACGCTGGACCCGTACGTTCTAGTGGAGACGCCGATACTATCGATAGCACCACGACATGTGGTACCCCACCTCCTACCACGGCCCGTCTATCGTTGGATGAGCGGGTAGTAGGTTCGTTACCGTCCACAGTTCTGCCACCGTATACCCAGCTAATAATTCAAACGCCAAATGGCCCGGCGATACCCCTCTCTTCCGAGCGCTCCATTCATGGTGGTGGTACACCTTCGCTGTCGTCCACATCACCCATGTACGTTACCTACCACATGTCGCCTTCGTCTCCTAGCCATTCCCATGAATGGCGATCTCCAACATTAGCTGCCGTCCATTCCCTTACCCCTTCATCAAAATCCCTGGCCTGTGAACTGGAACAGGAGATTCAGACTCTTAAGCAAGAGAAGGAACGTCTACAATCAGACTATGCACGTATTCCTTTATCTGGTGGTGGACCCACCATTAAGTTCAAAAAGGAACGCCTGGAGGAACACATGGATCTCGTGGATAAGGCCTTGCAGTCTGCGAAACTGCGTCTGAAGTTGCTGTAAAATACCCCTTAGTAGCGTACAGATCACGGTGGAATAACCCACATTTAGTCTATTCCATAACCGTCTGTTTGCTTCAAATTATATACATCTCCAGTATTTAGTACCTAAGGGTATCCTTGTCTAGTGGTCTCTCTTTTTTTGATTTCATAGGTTGTTATTATCCTTTTACTATTATTTTCTTGAAGACATTTAATCGAGGTTTGTCGTTAATCGTTTAAGAATACGCAGCATTACTTTTCATCATTTAATTTTTGGTGTTCCTTTGAACAGTAACGCCGTAGTTGAGGTGGTCCACGGAGGTATGTCTTTACACTCCGTTTATATAATATAATTCATACAAGTCACCTCAAGTAGCACAGCAAGAGTGATCATCATGGAAAGTGTTGAAAACGCAACCTATCGATGCTAAGCAATGTACAACGGACTAGCTGGCTATCAATAACAGCGTATGTGCGGGTAGCAGCAGTAAAAGTCAGCTTTTCCCAAGTACTTTGTCTTGAAGAAATTTATACCTACATCCAGAATACACCTCTCTCAAAAATGTTGAAGTAGCTACCGCTGTGAAGCTTAAACACTGTATTGCATACCCTTCTTTGTACCTGTGAGACTAGTCTGTTTAAAAAAGGTTGGGTATAGTAAAAAATAGACTTGTCGAAATAGTTGGTCAAGAGATCGGTGAACGTTCATTTTCACTTTCTATTGATAAATTGGGAGGGACGTTATACTTGGGAAAGGGGCAACGAATGGTTGTCCTAGTAGCGATGGGTACTACAAGGAAAATGTGGTATGATAGTCTAGTGGGAAGCTTGAGTTGGGTTAAAAAGGGTCAACAGATATTGCTATGCATAGTCAAACCCTTGTATAAGTTTCATGTAACAGAACCCTGCTTTACATTCATTATCTTGCCAAGTTACATGATAGCTGGTATAACGCACGTCACATGGCATGGAAAACAAAGCACAGATTTGTTAAACTGCTAGAAGAAAGCCACGGTCACTATTGTAATGAATTCTACACAGTGGTATGTTGGTAGAAGGACTAAAATAGTATCACAATGAAAACATATAACATGATTCTACCATGACATTCAGCAGCGTGTGCAGGTTGTAGGTAAGTGTGCAGCATCAAACTTGTATATTCGGGTAGTGGGACAATGTAGTGGGCATATAATAGCCGCCCTATAGCACCTTCGATTGGTTAAAACCTACCTATTATGAAAATGGTTACTAGATTAGCAAAATTACTAGAGCATTCAAATCCCCTTCATCCTGCGTTGAATATAAATCACAATCTACATGAAACTAGCCAAACTGCATCCAGAAAAATGTGAATATGCACTACACTGGTCATATACGTAATTAAGAATTCAGTTTTCGTGAGCGCAGATGGTTTAGTGGTATAATTACCGCCTGCCACGCGGTAGACCCGGGTTCGATTCCCGGTCTGCGCATCACTTTTTTACTTTTTTTGATTCCTGTTTTTTTTCCCTGATTTTTTTTTGCGGTGGCATTCTGGAGGGGCGCGTTTCCAATTCTTTTTGCCTTGGGAGCCACAATCTTGTCTTTCAAGTGCACCCATGTAAAGTTAAAGCTGGATGCAATACACTCTGTGTTTCCCCAATGAATCCATCAAAATCATCGTCTGAATTCACCAAAATTACTTCAACAGATGTCGTGTTTCAATTTCAAAGAGGCAATGTTTTTATTAGATTTAGGCTCCTTGGGCTTTTGTATTAGAGGGAGTTTAATTCACCTTGACTGATCTAGACTATCTTGGTAGCTAAACTGTTAAAGATTGCAGACCTTCAAATTCAATTGGTCGGTTTAGCTTACTATTTGGAAATAGCGTCAAAACTCGTTAACCAGTTCTACTATAATATCTCGAAATGATATAATAGGCTACTTTCATTCTCCATAAGGGACAAGAGAAATCAGTGCCAACTCAAGTGGGAATCAGTGTTGGCCATGTTCTGAAAAAGAAATACACTGTAATAGGTGCTTGCTACGAATAATGGGTGCCATTGGCCATAGTTTGATTTCTGTACCTGTCAACCAATGCCATGCAGCACTAGAGCTCCCACCAAAGTCTACAGTCTGACCCATCCAGAGCAAATGATGCTGGGTCCAAACACAATATGGAGCATAACAGAAAATGGTCACAAACTCCCTAAGGCTTAGTGCGGAGCTGCACCAAGGTAGCAATTAAAAGGTCGCTTGGCCCTAATATTATTACTGTTTAATTCTCATTTCCAACTGTGGGGAAATAAGGAACAAAATAAATGCAGACATGATAACTGGAACCATAACAGAATGTACTAAAAATGGAAAGAAAAGGTGAGTGTATTTCTTATGCTGGGACGAAAGTACCCACTACTGAACTCACAGAGAAATATCGTAGGACATGCCAGTTTTTACCGCATCCTAGCAATATAACGGAATGGCATGATTCTGGGTCACCAGGTCCATCAGAAAATATAATTTAAAGGGGAAGCTGAGGCCAGCTGTGGTAGCACCTGTCCCTGAGTAGGTGCCATGTTTAATGTTGGGCCAGCAAACAGGTACTTAAGCATGCAGGTGTAACAAGTTAAACTGTTGCCACTCATGATATTATTACTGATTCTAACCCGCCTTGTGATCTAGAATGGGGTATGTAACTTAACGTAACTTCACTTGAATATGTCCTAGTCTCCCTATAATATTTGTTGGGTTTGGTATCTCTGCTTCTATAGCTACTAACCACTGTATTATACATGTTAGCTGCCACATTATTACCATGTACCTAGCTAGGTATTGACGAAATATTAGTGGTTGTTCTTCACTTTTGGGAATTAGTTTTTTCTTTCTTTCGAAGGAATTCTCTACATAATATCTGTACCAAGGGTGAAAATACATTAGCTCAGTGGAATAGATATAGCTGAGTCTTTTGGTTTTTATCATTCTTACCTCTGGAACTCCGAGGTGTATTGAATGTGCTGACATCTTTGTTGTAATTTCGGTTACTTAGGGCCTGGATTTCACCCTCCAATTCAGGCCTAGCATACTGAGGCTTTGAAATTTGACCGGGTTTTCTTTGTTCATTCAGCCTTTAATTACAGTCATCTAAACATAGTGAATTGTCTAGTTGAAAGAGGAAGTAAGCCGAGTACTATGCTAGAAAAGTAGCACATGAACGCCAGCGCAGGCCCAGAACTAATTCTTAACCGTCACAGAGAAACGTTCAGCCCTGATTGTTTCCAAATACAGGTATAGGAGAAGAGGGCCTTCACTTTCGGCTGTGGTTTAGCCAAAGGGTGCTCGAATGGAAACCCTACGACTGCTTCTTATTCTTATTCTTCTTTTTCTTAGGAGTACGTGGTTTGGGTGTATCACTGGGTTGTTCCGATGTAGTGTCAGCCGGAGGAGCAGGTTCTACTTGTTCAGCATCCGATGGTAATGTTGCTTCCGTTTCTTTTTGAGATACCTGTTCCTTGGCTAGAGTGTCTTCCGAGGAGCGATAGGCAGCGGAGGTACCACCATCTTCACCCTTTTCGTTGGCAATTTTTACGTCGTCAGCCTTTGGTGTGGATGCTTCACTCTCACCCACGGCAGAGTCAGCTGGGCCCATCGGTAGATCTGTCTCTTCTTCCTTGATCACCGGGTCGGCGAGTTTATCGTCCGTGACGGGTGCCTCCAGCGTTTCAGTCTTTAGCACATCTGGTGATGTCGAGCCTAGGTGCTGAGGATCTTTATGAGCACGGTACGGTTCATTTTGGGCCAGGGTTTGCCGGCGCGCCCCTCCACCTCCCACAGTGGGAACTTGTTCTTTTGTGTGTACTTCACTAAATGAGCGGGGTTTGCCAAAGGGGTGTCCCTGGCCAGTTGGTGACGAGGTCGAATCGGGAGATGCCAGCATACCGGGGAACCCGAATGCGTTAGCCCGCTCTCCTGCCAGGTCGGTAGATCCCACTGTTTCTCGTAGGAAGGTGGCATACCGCAAAGCCATGACTACCTGGACGTGGGCCTTCTCCAGTGCCAAATCTAGGGGCTGGGTGCCATCCTTGTCCATCACGTCCAGTCGGGCATTCTTCTTTAAAAGGTACCACACGAACGAAGCATCGTCCACCGAAGCGGCATAATGTAAGCAGGTGCGCCCTTCGCCGTCCACCACATTAATATCGGCAAACCAATGCAGCAGGAACTCAATAGCCACATAGTTACTCGCCAAGGCAGCCAGGTGAATGGCGGCCTTGTAATTCTCTGACTCATTGCGCCAATTGACCTCCGCACCCATGGCCAGGCAGCGTAAGGCGTCGGGCAAGTCACACCTTTGGATAGCCAACCACATTTGTTCGTTAAACGGCGAGGTAGCGCCTATCTCCATTCCTTCGGGGTGTTCCATGTAGGCTTTTTTAACATATTTGGCGACAATGTGCTCTTTCTTCTCGGTACGGGGTGTGTCCGGATGAATCGTGAGCTTATCGGGCGTGACAGCACCCTTGTATATACCGTTGACCACCTGATTGCCCAGTTGGAGCATAACTTGAATTTGCTCGGGCTCCCAGTTGTCCAAAGTGAGGGAACGAACCTTGGAGAGATGAACACCTAAACTACGGTGAATTCCGGAGCATTCGATGCAAAGCAAAGTGCCCATATTGATGCTGGACCATTCGGGATCCGGGGCACCGCAATCGACGCACTGATGGTTCCCGGGCACCTTGCGAATTTGCTGAAGCATATCCTGACGGGTGGTGATCACCCCATCTGGTGAACCCTGGGCGGATTGGTGGCTTTGGCCTGGGGAGTGTGTCTTCGGAATAGCGTTTAGACGGCCCAGATTTTCCGAGTAGTAAGACTGTTCAATAGCACACTGGATACATGTGATCCAGTCTTTCATATCCTTTTCCGACTCGGCCTGCAGCACGTAGGTCTTGGTGGGTGAAATAATATCAAAGCAGAAGCGTCGCTCCATGGTGGTGGACGGTTTAACAGTGGCTACGTGCAATTGTATGGTGTCAGTATCCTTTTCCCGGTGGCGATCCCAATGGACCAGTACGTCATTTTCTAGCTCAAAGTAGCGACGGTTCCAGGTAGCCATAAGCGCGTAGTTAGTACGTAGGAAAAGGTACCCTGCCTTCTGGATGGGAATCAGGGGTTTGCGCTTATCCAGAAACACTTTGGGCTCAGGAACGGGTTCAAAAAAGGCCGGGGTGTCAGGGTGTTTGACTAATGCCTGAGTGAATCTAGATTTTTCCTCTAGTGCGTCGTTGATTTCCTGGGTTTGACTTTTGCGCATCTCATGGAGACTTTCGGTGAGTTCTCGCATTAGGGGTTCCATGTCCTTGAGCATTTCGTAACCCTGATGGAAAAAGGCGTACTGGGTAAACATGAACGCCAGGATGTACTCTATAAATTCGAGACGTTTCACGGTGGTGGCCTCGTCGAGGGTGATAGCATAGTCCATCGACTTGTCCATAAAAGAATGGCGACTCTCACGGGTGTCCCGTTCCCCGTCGGCGATGGTAGGATCATGGGGACGTTTGGCCATCATTTTGCTCAGCGTATATTCGTAATCATCGCCGGCCTTTTCGAACCGCCGCTTGGACTCCTTGATCGGCGCTAGTTCGTTTTTAGCAAAATCTTCCAACGGTTTGACAAAGACGTTGACCAACTGTGCGGCCTGCATTGCACGGTTGCGCTCCACTTCCCGCAGGGTCACGCAAAACTTATCCAAGGTGTTGACAATCGGGGCAGAATCGGTAAAACTGCGTCGAACAAAGGTCTCCACCTCCCCGGTGAAGGTATTGTACTTGTTACTCAGGTCATTAGACAGATCAGCGGCCGACCGACTAACCCGAGTGATGTTACGGATTACATTTTCATAGCGTGTTACAAACTCTTCGTGCTCAGCCAACTGTGTTCGGTACGCGGGGGTGTCCTTGACACAAGCAGCGAGCTCGACCATGATTTAGAGTACACGTTATACAAGGTCAGCCAGTGAGGGAAGCAAGTCGAGGGTGGTGAGTATACGGGTGTTTTTACACTGGTCTCTCGGAGGTGCCTGATCCAATGTAAAAAAGAAATTACAATCAAGTTCAACGCAACTGTATATGGCAGTATGTGACAGCAGATGGCAGGAGCGGGTGTTGTTTGGTCTAATGCTAAAGTTTAAGCGAACAAGGAAAGGAGGACTGCAGGCTGAACTGGCCTAGGTATTGGTTGGCTTGATAAAAAAAGCATACCAAAGCTCAAAGGAAATTGGAGGTCAGAAACACTCGTTGGTGGGTTTACTCGCCCTTTTCCCCCCTGTGTTCCTCCCTAATGATTGTAGCCCCTAAAATTAATTATACAAGCAACCCCTGGACTATCTTTCAAAAATCAATGGGGGCAAACGCTTGAACTCTGGCATCTCAGCAGTGGGAGATATGCTCCTTGAAACAAAGCCCGCTCCCCACTCGTTCACTGCAAAGGTCGA